TAACGGAACCTCCCGGTAAGCGCAGCGCGCTTTCAGCAGCGGCGGCGGCGGCGATGAGAGCTGGCCCCGGCCAGCCAAACCCAAGCAGAGAAACAAAATGAAACGGCGAAAGGGAGAGCGCCCTGCGCCTCTGCCTGCAGCCCTGCCCGATCTCAGGGTGCAGGCGGGCACGGGGTGAGCCCCGGGACCAGGCGGCAGGGTGCCAAGCGGAGGCAGGGGTGGGTGGCTGGGGTTACCCGCTGCCCCCAGCCGGGCCGAGGTCTTCGCTCCTGCCATCATTTAACGCGCCGCAGCTCCGGCACACGGCCGCGGTGCGGCCGGTCTCGCTGGGTTTCCGAGGGCCCGTGTGCCCCAGTTTCCCAGCGCTCCCTTTTCCCTGGCCCTCGCCCCAGAAATCTCTCCCGCATCCTCCGCTCCTGGCGCCCAGGAGAGGCCGTGGCTGGGGAGGGGGGGGGAGGGGGGACCAGTGGCCCCCGGGGAGGGCTGTGCCCGACCTCCGTGGCTGCCCGCAGGCCGGCGGGCCCCCTGGCCCTGTGCTCCCGGTGACGGCCAAGCTCAGGGCTGTCCCCAGCTGACGCGGGGGTCTTGTCCCCGAGGTGGGGGGACGGGGCCCTTGGCGCCGGGGAGCAGCTCCCTGCCTGCGCTGGGCCAGCGGCAGCACCTCGCCTCCCGCGCTGGCGGCACAGGTGAGCGGAGCAGCAGGTAAAGCCTTGATCTGCCCTTATTGCTGTATAAAATGGCTTGATTCAAAGACCAGAACAGAATGACGTGATGTGTGGAAAGAGGCAGGAGGGGGGAAAAAACAACCTGACGTTTTCTACAGCCCAGGCCTTGGGGAGAAAGGGGTGCACGGACCCCGCCTGACCGCCCGGGCCCGCAGCAGGCACAGTGATGGGGCGGGCGCCCGGGCGTCCCCCCGGCTCCCGGCAGCCCCCCGCCTCTCCCCTGCTTGCTTTGGAAACAGTTGGTGGCTGGTGGGCAGGGAGCAGAGCTGGTGGCGAGGGGCAGGAGGGAGCCAGCAGGGCTGGATGGCCCCAGCCGGGTCACCCATGGGTGCCGCCTTGGGGTGCCACCGCCCCGTCCTGGCCCCGAAAGCGAAGCAGCACCGAGCAGAGCCGCTGAAAAGCGAGGAGCAGCAGCATCGCAGCCCCTTCCCTGCGCAGCTGGAGCGAGGACGGGGGCTGGTAAAGGACTAAGACTAGACCCAGCGACGGCAAAACCTTTGCCCCGGCAGAAGCGAAGCTGCTCCCACCCCCCCACCCCGCCCTTGCGGAGAGCCCGGGCTCCAGCGCAACCTCCGTGTGCGAGTGCCTTATTGCGAAATAATTCCATGAAATTAGAAAGCGGAGAGGGGAAGGGACCGTCCCGGCTCACGTTGCAGTCGCTGGGGCCAACCGCGGCACCGGTGCCAGCTCTTGCCTCTGCCGCCTCGAGCCGTCAGGCGAAGAAGGGGAGAGAGTCGCTTTGCGTTGGGTTTTGTTTCGGTTTTAGTGCAAGAAATGCTGCCCATGCATGGGAATCCAGGTGGCTGGCGCTCGCCGCTCACCCCCCTCCCTCCCGGTCGTCCGGGCTTCGGGCAGGAAAACGTCTCGGTGCTGGGAAGGAATCCACGCGGAGGCTGCCGGGAGCGGGACGGAGCTGGGCACGGCGCGGGTGCTGGCGGGACCCCGGGCGATGGCTGTACGGCAGGGGCTGTAGGCACGGATGAATCGGGCTCCTCTCGCCGCCACTCCCGCGAGCGCCGTGGTCTCGTCCCTCCACGATTGGAGATGCGGTGCCCAGCCCGGCGGGCTGGTCCTGGTGGATCTGGCAGCACCGCCTTCCGCTGTGTCTCCTCGGGCTGGACCGCAGCATCTCCTCGGGGCGGTGGGTGCGGAGGCGGTGGCCGGGACCCCCGGCTCATGGCACAGAGCCGGACCGGGGCATCTCCTGCTCGTGAGCCTGCGGAGCGGCGCAGGACGGAAAGCTGTCGGGATGCTCCATCCGAGGCCGTGGCCAGACCCTGCTGCTGCTCGCACCGGTGGCGCTTTGCTCGGGTGTCCTTGGTGCAGGATGCAGCCGGAGCTGGAGCTGGGGCGGCAGCAGGTCCCAGCGGAGGGGCTGGAGGGACGCGAGGGGACGCGGCAGAGGGGGACGGTGCAGAGCGAGGGGCCAGCGCCGGCACCCGGCGGGCTCAGCCCGGCCCTGCGCGCCCCGTGGCAGGGGAGGCGAGAGGAGGCGAGAGGGTGACCATGTCCGCGGCTGCCTGGAGAAGGGAGCGGGCAGCCCCGCTCGCTCCCGCTCCCCCAAAAGGTCCGGTTAGAGTTTATAGCCCCCGCTCTCCTCCTCCGCCCGGCTCTCCGGCTCCTCTCGGCCCCCCTCCTCCGGCACCCCGTTGAGATGGGACTTGCTGGGGACCGGCCGCTCGCCTGTGTCTGCCGAGGGGCCAGGCCGGGGCTGGGGGGAGGCGGTGGCCGCGGCGCCATTGCCCCCGGCCCCTTCGGACTTGCCGAAGTTGAAGAGCTTGCTGGGATTGAATGGCTTGGTGGGCGACTGGACCTTCTCGGTCCCTGTGTCCCGCTTAGTCTCGGGGGATTTCAGGAACTTGAAGCTGAGGAAGCCAGGGAGTTTGTTCTCGCTGCCGGTGGGGGACTGGGGGGACCTGGCGGTGGCCGTGCTGCTGGCCCCGGCCCCCCCAGAGAGGAACTTGCCCTGCAAAGGGATGATCTGCTTCAGCTTCATCACGTTGTTGGTGGCCAGGAGGGAGCTGGGTCGCTTGGGCTTGTCAGAGCCGTGCGAGGAACCCCCGGAGCCCTTCCCTTTGCTCTGGCTCTTCTCGTGGGCCGGGTCCTGCCCGGCGGCCTCGGGCTTGGCCTCGTCGCGGCTGGACTCGCGCTCCTTGCGGGCCTGGTACTCGGCGTGCCGCTGCCGCTCCTCCTCCTCCCGCTTGCGTCGCTGCTGCTGCTGGAAGTGGTGCTGCGCCTGCCGCTCGTGCTTCTGTCAATGGGGAGCACGTCAGCCCCGGGGACGCCCCGGGGAGCCCACCAGCCCCGGGGACGGGGCGGCCTGGGTCCGTGCTCGGCCCCAAGGAGGGTCCCATCCTGGCATCGCCTACCTTGAAGGCCTCGCGGCGCTGGTACTCCAGCTTGGCCATCTCCTCGGCCACCCAGGCGGGGATGTCGGGGATGGCCACTTGGATGATGTACTTGAGGAACAGGGCGAAGTGCTGCGGGGGGAACACGGGTCCAGCTGAGCATCCCTGGCCCCGTGGGCACCGCTGTCCCCTCCCGAAACGCAGCCCGCAATGGATGGGGGGCCGGAGAGACCCTACAATAACAGCCTGGGGGATTCTGGGCCCTGGCGCGTGGCCTGGCAGCACCCGCTGCCTGCAGGGAGCTGCCGGGGGTTGCAGCAGAGGGTTTCGGGCTGGGACCCCATCCCTGGAGGGGAAGGTCTGCGGGAGCCCTTGGCTGGCTGAGCCAAGACAACGCCTTGTCATGCACCGGGAGACCCTACAATAACAGATGGCCATGAAGCGGGCGGCGGGCGCAAGCCCTGGGCACAAGCACTGTACCTCCAGCACCACCACGGAGATGATGGCTCCCTCGGGGCTGAGCCAGGGGAAGAGGCGCTGGAGCTGCCCGCACTGGGCGATCAGGTAGCAGTTGACCACGATGGCCAGGATGCCCATGGCCTCCATCACCTTCTGCAAGAGCGATGGTGCCGGGGATGAGCCCCCCGGCCAGCCGGGACCCCCGCCAGGCCCCCGGTGCCCCCCAGCCCACCTGCCACTGCCCGATGCTCTCGACCCGCTGGCCGAAGGGACGCTGGAGCCCCGTGCACAGCTTGAAGGCGTCGCTCCGGATCTCGATGACGTTGTTCACCAGGGCGCACATGGCGGCCAGGGGGAAGGCGGAGGAGAAGAGCACCACGTAGCCGAACTGGATGAACATCTCCTGGTAGTCCTGGAAGGTGTCCTGGGGAGGAAGAGGAGGAGGAAGAGCATGTTGCAGTGGGGCTGGGCGGGGGGTACGCCGCACCCCACCAGCCCCGTGCCCCTCTCGGGGCCGCTCACCTCGTACTTCTTCATGCAGCTCTCCACCTCCGCCTGCGTCAGCTGCGTGGAGTAGTCCTCCTCCGGCGGGTCGATCCACGATGCCCGGTTGCGCCTCCGCCCTTCCTCCTCACCCTCCTCCTCCTCCCGGCTCTCAGCCGCCCGCCTCCTCCGGCCGGCCCGCGGGACCACCGCCGGCTCCGCCGCCTTGACCGGGCTGCAGGGGGGACCTTCGGCCTCCTCCTCATCCTCGCACAGCTCGAAGACGGACGCGGGGTCCATGCCCTTCTCCACCATGGTGGGGCTGCCCTCCTCGAGGAAGCTCTCGTCCTCGGGGCCGCCGGGCTCCCCGCCGCGCCGCTCCGCCTTCTCGATGAAGCTCACCTTCTTCAGCTTCAACCCGCAATCCAGGGCGCTCTCCTCCTCCGAGTCTGACTCACGCCGTTCTTCCTCCTCCTCCTCTTCCTCCGGCACCCCACAGCCCCCGTTCAGACACTTCTTCTCCCCTCTCGACCCCTCGGGGGGGGCCGGGGGGCGGCGGCGGGGGGCGAGCAGGCAGAGGACGGCGTGGGCGAGCTGGCGGAGGCTGCGGAGGCTGAGGTCCCCCCGGCGCAGCCCGCGGGGCAGGGGGGGGGGCGGCCACCCCCCCACGG